TTAGAAAGGCCCCTCTTCTGATCCTAATCTGATCTCAATGATTAAATTCGAGATTTAGTGAAAATTCTCCAATTTACGGAACCAAATTCTGACTTAAAATGAACAGTTACCGTAAAATCGAAAATTCTTACAATTTTTGAATTTCCTTCTTTTCTTTTGGCATTTTTCCTTTTTATGCTGAAAATTTTTTCTTATCTTGTAGTCTACTAAAAATATAGAGAGAGAATAATTTAATTTATTTCTCGGAACTGAAATCGGACATATATTCCGACTACAATCGAAAACCGAAAAAAATGAAAATTCTAAAAATTTCATATTTCTCTCTAATAATTTAAATAGACTAAAATGTCTAAATAAATTTTCTCACTTCTTTGAACATTTATAACTTAAATGTTCATGGATACTTAACCGAACTCAAGACTTAACTTGTCTCGACTCATTATTCTTTTTCTTTCTCATTCAAACTAGAAATGGCCAAATTTACATCCATTTAGCTAAATAAAATGGAATGTTACTTGAACTTGAACTTCATCTTAAATAACTTATTTCAATTCAATAAACATTAATGTCTAATTAATCCTTATAACATGATCAATACTCAAAACTAAGCTAGGCTCGAGAATCATTTGCTCGGTAATAATCTTAACTCGTAACCGAACATGCTTGGTTCGGTTCACGACTTATCTTGAACGAGTAATCAAAATATACTCGGTTTTTTTATTATTCGTTATCTTATTATAATTAATCTCATCTTATAAATCCATTTGTAAAAATAAACAGACTGGAATTAATTAATTACTGAACTGGCTCGATTACTAAATAAAATTTAACCGAGAATACTTTCAACTTAAAGTCGAACTTTTAACTAAATAACTTAATAACTGGGCTCAAAACTAGGAACGAGCATTATTAATAAAAGTAATTAGTTCAAACTTAGAACTAAAATAATTACTTTTATTAATTACTGAATGGGATATTACAACGACCACCTGGGCGGCAGCCCTGTTCAAAAAGCCCTCTGAGTCCACGCCTCATCCATTCCTTCGTCAAATTCTTCTTCGAGTTATCTCCTGCCATGATCCCCGTCGCTCTTCTTCTTCTTTGGTGAGAAAAAATAGCCTCTGATACTCCCGATAGAAGACTGAGTCTCCCCACAGATGACGCCAAGTTGTTGTAACACAAACTCTCGAACCGCTCGACCGCTCCTCTCGAACCGGATTGAGCCTCATTGATCATCGGTACCTGCAAAACACGCTAGGGGTGGTCCAGGCGTGGACACTCCGACGCTCAAGTCAGTCGTGGTATCTTGGAGAGAAAACGGCAAAGTAACGAGATAATTAGTATATATGTGTTGTGTAAAGTGAATAAACTTGTATCCTTTTATAGTTGAGACATGAGACTTCTAGTGAAACAAAAAGTCTTCTCGGTCCCCATCTCTTAATTAGGTCAAGAGATCCCGAATCTTGAGTCCTTGAGGTTGTGAACCTCTTCCTGACTTGATCATAAAGCCAGCTCTGAGCTCTAATCCCCTCGGCAGAACCCTCTGGCTGAGCTGCCTAGATGCCGAGGTGCCTAGCTGCCGAAATGCCTAGCTACTGAAATGCCTATCTACCTGAGCGCCCAGCTGTTGGGATGCCCAGCTCATCACTCTTAGTATTTCACCTAGCTCACGCCAAGCTAATCTCCGCCTACCTACCATGCCTAGCTGTGACAAAGTTCGGCCTATGACCAGTCCTTCATGAACCGCTACTTATGGGCGTATCAGAATCTATTTATTCAACCATTTATTATTTTTATTAAAATATATTTAGTGAATCGTTATATTATTTATAATTTAGAATATGTATATATATATATATACTTAATTATTATATTATTTATAATTTAGAATATAATTAATTATTATATTTATTTTTGTTATATATATATAGAGAAGGGATCATATGAGAATGGTAGATAGTGAAAGAAATAAGAATGATTATAGACCATTGGATCGGTACGATCAATGAACATAATTAAGTCAAAATTAAGTTTAATGGTCAAAGTTGCAGTGGCAAAATCAAACTTATATTATCATATCATGGTCAAATAAATACAATTTGGAGGGTTGTTGGCGACGAACGACCGGTCGGCAGAGAAAGCAGGTGGCGGTAGAAAACCAATCGGCGGGAGAGCAGGTGGCGGGACGTAGCCGGTGAAGATATCCTATCAGAGTTTCTTCTTAGATTTTTTATCCAAAAACAGGGCACATATATGGGAATTTGATATATTCAAAGGACCCAATTGCAAATTTTTAATTTTTTATTGTTCAATGAGAGACCAAGCTATTCAGCATGGAATTTTGGCACTTTGACATGATAATTATTTTATTTTTATTAAATTATTATTAATTTAATAAAACATGATCAATTACTATTAATAAAAAAAATATCATACTTTTAAGAAAATAAAGTCATATCGATTAAGTGCAATCTGTCAGTCAATATTGTGCAATCAGTGCAACACAAATGTGCAATCTAAGGGCATTTATATTTAATGATTTGTCACAATCCAAATTAAAATTAAAATAATTTATAATTTATATTTTAAAAATATATTTAGTATTTTAATTTTTTTTATATCTTTTGTATGATCTTTTTTTTTTTGTGTAAATACCAAAAAAATATATATAACAAAATAATATATTTTTATATATTTATATCGGCTTAATAGATATAGTGCAATTTGACAACGTGCATTCCGTCTAACAATAACATGCACTCTAAGTGTAATTATTTTTTAATGACTTGTCTTAAACTAAACCAACACCGAAATAATTAGTTTTCTTGATATGTTAATTTAATTAAGATAGTTAACATTTATTTTTTAAAAAATAAAGTCGTTACCGAACTGAACTACCAATATTATGTAGATATATTTTTTAGATTTATATGTCGTGGTATTTTGGCTGGAATTATCGACGTTTAATTGTTGATTGTCATGATAGAGTGCAATGTGACGATACATAAAGTAAAACTACTATAAGTTTGGTATGTTGGCATGCTTATATTTTTTTTAACATATGATGTGATGTACGATAGAATATTATGTTGATTTGTTTTTTAGATTTATGTTGTGTTGTAATTTGGCGGGAATTATTGACGTTAATTGTGGAGCGTGTTGATAAAGTGCGGCTCGTTATTATATAAAGTGCAACGTGTTCTTTTATAATGTGCAACGTAATATTTCATAAAGTGCAATTTTTTTTATAAAGTAAAATAATTTGTAAGTTCACATTGTGTAATCGAAAACTATTTTTTAATAAATATAATTGTATAAATAATTAATTTAAATAACTTAAATATTTTATTAGTTATTATTATTATTATAAAATTTGTTTATTACTATAAATTATTTTATATTATTTTTATTTAATAATTTATTTATCATTTAATACATGTGTATAACAAAACGTAAAAAAATAATTTTTTTATTAATTTTCAATAATTACAGATTCGGGCATGTGGGATTAATTGAAATATAATGAAAAAATCATAAAATTACAAATAGGCCCTAAATTAGTATAATTCTCAAAAGAACACCCCAAAACCTCACACCCCATAATGTCAGATTCCGGCGCCCGTGCCCGTCGCTGCCGCCGCCGTCAGCCTCAGCCTTCCACCATCTCGCCTCCCGTCCGTTCGCCATCCTCTGTCAGACTCCCATCTCAGCGGGTTGGTGTCGTCGGTCGCTGCGAGCTCCCGCCGTCCCAGTCGGCCTTCCTCCATCTTTCCCGACTTTAACTCTCCTCTATTCCGCCGCGCCAGAGGACATTTCGACGATGTGGGACACGCCGGAGCTCTCTGGCGGCATACGACTGGAAGGCAGTGATTCTACATTGCAGCGGTCTGGTGGATGACGATGGGGTGAGGCGGCGGCGGAGGCGTGATGGCGGCGACGGCGGAGGTTGCGACGACCGGTCGGCAATTATGGCGGCGATCGGACTGTAGTGATGACGACCGGACGGCGAGGATGGCGGCGATCGGACTGCAATGATGGCGACGACGAACGACAGTTATATGTGTGTATTTGTGTGTCTACTGTGTGTAATATATGTGTGTCGGTGTATGTGTGTGTAATAGATGTGTGTCAGTGTGTGTTTGACCAAGAGAGAGAATGGGTTGAGATGTGTGATGTAATTATGGCCAAGTGTCATTTAATTATTGGGTATGGATGTATTTTTTATTGATATTAAAATGTTAAAATGTCCCAAATACCCTTAATGAATAAATAAATGTTTAATTATTGTAGCCGTTAGATCATCTTATCTAATGGATACGATGCATTCTTATTTCTTTCATTGAGATCCTTTCTCACTTGAACCCAATCCTATATATATATATATATATATATATATATATATATATATATATATATATATATATATATATATATATATATATATATATATATATATATATATATATATATATATATATATATATATATATATATATATATATATATATATATATATATATATATATATATATATATATATATATATATATATATATATATATATATATATATATATATATATATATATATATATATATATATATATATATATATATATATATATATATATATATATATATATATATATATATATATATATATATATATATATATATACATTGTCTCTTATTTAATATAAAGATGTTTGACTCTGTTCAATATATAATTTTTTAATCCCTACATATTGCATGTTATGCTTGCACGTGTACAAAGCAATTTTTTTTTAGTTTTGTTATTGGGTTTGTTTGGGTTGAAATACGAAGAGCCATGCCTAATTTTCTTTCACTCCTATTTTTCTTTCACGCTTCACAGATCTCTAACAACTACAAAAATCTCGACCTCAAATATTTCTGAACTCGACCAAAATTGAGACCTAATTCATGACAGAATATTCCAAATTTTTATTACATGTTAATTTATTTTTATTCTCTATCTTTTTCCTACTGCGCAAACGACATATGCGTCGTAGAGCTCGCCGCGGCCAACCATGGCGCAGATGCGGAGGTTGAGGGGACAGTCAGAACCGCCGCCGACGCGGGTGGGGCTGTCGCCTCTTCGATGATACTGGACTTGGGGGTCGGGGAGTGTTGATCTCCTTCACCTTGGATGAGATGGAGCGATCGACATGAGCCCCGCCAGATTGGATGCGCTTGCCGATGGCTGACAAAGTCGTTTTCAACTTTCACAGGTCCAGCTTCTCCATGAATCGTTACTGTGTGTCCTTTTATTTTTTAAAATTTTTGTTATGAGATTTCTATTGGTTGGAATACAGAGAGTCGAGATCCATTATTCCTTTCTAGTTTATATTTCTTCACAAATCATTAACAATTGCCAAAAATCTCGACCTCATGTGTCACTCAAGTCGCCAAAAATTGAGTCCAAATTCATGCCAAACTCTTCTAATTTGTGATTGCAATTATTTTTCGCCTGTCTTGTTTTTTACTGGAATTTTGGTTTTCGGTTGTCGAACGAAATGGATCCCCTTTAGAAAAACTTCAATACGCTACTGCCCTCCATGGCGAGCTGTTGGTCAGCGGGGAAGCTTCGACCCATAGACTGACACGAATGGCCTGTTGTATGAGTGAGTCAGTATGTGTGGTGGAGGAGGGAGAAGGCAACTATTTCCGGCAGGAACTTGAGCTTCATATCCGCTGGGACGATTCTCTCACGCTTCATATCTGGTTCAATTCAATATACTTATGTTTGTCTTTGCTTCAATTGATGAATATTTGAATCAATTGCTTAAAGTGAAATTTCCTTTTAATTTTATGATTATTGCTAGCTTTGTCTCATGTAATTACTAATTAGTGAGCCAATTACATTATAAACTATAAACTGAGACTACATTTATTTGGCTAAGCTTCTTTCTAATTTTCCAGTGGTTTGTCTTTGTAATATCCCTGTTGTTGTATGAAATTAACAACTCAAAAATAACAAACAACAAGGTGTGTTTAAGCGAAAATAAACATATAAGTGTATATTATTTATGATTTGGCAATAGTACAGGAAGTCGGTTTTTTGTTCTTGACCGAGATCATTTCAAGTCCGTGTACAATGTGCGGAAAAAAGATCCTTGTACAGTTATGAATTCTGCTATCTATAGTACGGTCTTATTCTGTCCTTTTGTCCAAGTTGGATAAGATCGTTTTTCATGTTGAGTAGCTTCACTAAAGCGGCGTGTAATGGTTTTGGGGAACATCAATGATTGTTGTTTGATGTGTTGGTCCAATTGGAAATATGCGACACCTCCTGCTTGGAAATTCGATCTTCTTTTGATATATATATCGGATAAGAAATCACTTTGAACATGTCGGTTGATGACGCCAAGATTGAAGTCGGTATCTCTGGCTGTGGGATATGTCGGTTGTTCCGCAGATAGCCAAGCTGTTGAGAAGTCGGTATTTGAAGAAGTCGGTATTTATCCCCCCTTTTTTTACCGACTTGAGCACAGTGTCGTATTTCACAAGCTATCAGGGAAAGAGCAATAAAATAAACATAATCTCTGAGGCTAAATTACGTAAGACCAAGTTGGTCATCAACAGAGAGGCCCCCGACATTAGTAGATATTTGAATTTGATGAGATGGCTACTGATGTCGTTAAGACTGTTTCGTAATTCCAACTTGGTAATTTACCGACTTCGCTGGTATTCAAGTACCGACATAAGGACACTTAAGTCTTGTCACCACTTTTTCTTGTAATAGCGGTATATCCTCCAGATGACGTGGTCGTTCTTATAAGACGTGTCGGCATTTAATAGGTATAACGGATAAAATAGTAGAGCGACATGGCGGTTTGAGGCCCATGCGTATTAATGATTACTGTAATGTCACGCTGTTTCAGAATACGTCCGTTACACGCGCCAATTCAGGATGTATCCAACGGTCATAAATCAAAACCTATATATAAGAGTCGGTTTTGATTGCGAAATGTTTCTACCTTTAATTTCTGAAATTTCTACTGTCTTCTGCAATCTTCATCTTCCACCTCTTTAGATTTGTCTGCTATTCTTATCCTTTGAAATCATTTCTTCATCTTTTATCGATCGAACGTCTTGAGATTTGTGGTAATAATTTTCCCCAATTCTTTATTTTATTTGTGTTCGTTGCTTTTGATTCTGCATTTATTTCTTTGACCCGCTTCTCAAATCAATGGCCTCCCAAACGGAAGTTAGTAGTAGTCGTACGCTCTCAGAGGAGAGAATTTTTTATGAAGAGGACTTAGAGTTACCCCTCGAATTTTACCGATGGGATCCCCTCCTTGTCTCCAGCCTCAATTTAAATAAGAATATTACCGAAGAGGATAAGAAGGTGGAGGCGAGTGCGATGACGTTACCAGAATATTGGAGACGCCCGGCTCGGAGATGGCCTGAATTGATCGACGAACACAGGGGGGAACAGAGTATATTAACAGACGCAGATATTGTTATCTTGCGTGAAAAGGTCCGGGTTCCCTCCTCGGTACAGTTGTTTGCACCTTACCCTAGAGAGAGAATCACATGTCCTCCACCTGGTTGCGTGGGAGTTTTTGCCGACTCCTTGAGATCAAGGCTGCGATTTCCTCTTCCGGCCCTGATCATCGATTATCTAAGGGATTGGGGCTGAGGCTTATGTCAAATAGCACCAAATACATGGAAGAGGATAATCGGCTTAATGGTGTTATTGAGCGAGAAAGAATGGGATATGCCGACGGTGGAGGACATGAGAAGCTTGTTCACCTTCAGGAGGTGTGCTGATAGGCAGGTGGCTGACCCTTTGATCTGTTTCGCGTGTGCTGGGAAGCCGCAAGGTGGCTTGGAAGTCGGTGATTTAATCACCGAGATTCCTGAATCCCTTCATTGCTTTCAGGAAGAATGGTTGTGGGTCGGTGGAGAGTGGCAAACTCCGAATTTTTCGAAACCTTTAATCGATGGGATGTCTATACCCATTGAAGTTACTTCTGCATATAGTAAGTGCTTCGATATTAATTCATACCGAGTTGTTCTAACTGTTACTTTTTCTATACTAACAGGTCCGCCCTTTTGTTTGCAGCCTGAAGATCCAAGAAACCGACTCTCAGTGCGGAGTTAAAGGGCAGGATTATAGAGTTATTCAAGCTAAAAAAGGGACAGCGCAACTTTAAGTTGGTGTTGAAGAACCCTCGATCAGAAGCAGCGAGGCTTTGTCCCGACGAGTCGGATTTATCCTTTCAACCAGATATGTTTAGACTGAAAGCACTTCTTATATTTCGAAAAATTGGGAAATTACATATGTCTAAACTCGGTTTATAATGCAGTGTATTACCCACTTCTCGGGGTGCTCGGTTTTGACAATATCCGAGACGCCGCCAAAGGAGTCCTAATCTTGAGCTTCGGACCAAAGTCGGTAAGAGTAGAGAACAACGCTTGACAGATATGGGTCGCAAGAAACTCGTGAAGGCTTACTTGGATAACCCCATCATGAACCCGAAGGGCGCCAACGTCGGTGACGGTGTGACGTCGGGTGCGGCGAATGAAGTTGTGCAACCGGACCCGTTGGTAGTGGCTGCTTCTGGTCCGATTGCAGCTATTGCTGCGGCAGTTTTGGGTACAGCAAGGACCGAACCGGTTCAAGAAACCCCCAATTCAAATATATCACCCATCATTGACGTCACGGCAGATGAGCCTGAGGGTGAGCTAGAAACAGTTGAGGAACAATCGCTGGTGGTAACTCGGAGAAGCAAGAGACGTGCCGAGAATGCGCCACTGGAAGAAGAGCGTACCAAGCAGAGGCACGATGTTCATCAGCAGGAAAAGAAGAAGAGGAAAAAGGAACCGATAGTGGATCGTTCCTTTTTACCCATTGATGAAGAAAGAGCTCTGAACTTCCGGCAGCCTCGGGAGTCGGTCGAGAAATGGTTCTCGACTTTTGAGTCGGTTGAAGTCCCCGAGATCCCGAGTAAAGTGGAGCTGCCGAGCCATGTTGTTGATGCTAGTCCGGTGCCCATGATGGTATGGGACTCGAGGTCTGAGATTGGGGTGTCGTCCCTTCCAAGTGCTTATAAGTTCAAATACGCCAAGGCTTGCCTAGGTCGCGCACTCGTTAGCCTGGTGATGGCAGAGGATGATTTCCGACTTAATGTTGCTCAAGTGGATGAGAAGAAACATAGTATGGCCCTTAGAGATGGAGCAATTGAGTCCTTAAGGGAAGAGACAGCGAAGAAAGAAGCCGTTTTGAAGGAAAAACTTGCCGAGCATTATCAACAGTTGGTGATAGCTCAAGAAGAAATCGAGACCTTGAAGATCGAGAAAGCTGGTCTTGATTCTGATGTGATGAAGTTGACAAGTCAGGTCATCACCTCCGAACAGCGTGTTAAAAGTCTAGAGGAGCAACTTGCCCGATGCCAACTACTGCTGAAGAAAGAGCAAGAAGCCCATGAACTCACTCGGGCAAGTCGTTCTGAAGTTGAAGAACTGCTGCTGAAAAGTGGGGAGGCTCATCGTGCCGACTTGAGCAGACTTCAAGAAGAGAAGATTAAATTCGCCGAAGAGAAGTATAATGACGGTCTCCATGCTGGAAGGATCCTTGAGGCCGAAGCTCATAGACAGAAGGTTGTAGCCGAAATTGATCCTGACGATGATGATCGAGAGCTTGAGATGAACACCTGCATCAATCTCCGCTGGGTAATTGAGCGGCTTGATGCAGGGTTGTATAATATTGCAGAATTGCGCCAGTATCTCCTTCACAAGATCCAAAAGAACCAGTTCAACCCTGCCATTGCCACCGACCACATTGACGTCGATGAAGACGAGAAGGAGTTCTGCGAGCAGCTCCTTATATCGGCTGGTACCGAGTTGGGTTATACCGACATTCCTCCTCTGAACAAAGACAAAGAGGCTCGCCTCCTGCGTTCTTTTGTGGACATGCTACTGGAGACAGAGAAAGAGAAAAGGGCGGAGCTGGCAAACATCTACGTGAAGACTTTGGCTGAAGTAAATATCATGAAGGAGATTGAGAAGATGAGTCCGGAGCAACTTCGAAAGGCAGTTTTGACTTTTCTGGAGAGGAAGATTTTGGAGTTGTCTCAAAAGGATGAACATCCATCGGTTACCGAGGAGCGCGGGACCCATGAACAAGATCCCATCCTGGATGAGCACATTCCGATTTCTCTTACAGAGGTTGAGCTAGCTGCCAAGGCCGAAGTGGACTGGGTTTTTGAAATTATTAGTAGAATCATGTATGAGCGGCTCACCGGTGATGAAGTTGAAGAGCTCTCGGAGACCAAGAGGATTGAGGACACCGAGATCAATAAGGATGCAGAAGTCTCGAAGGGAACTGAGGCAAGTCCTTCGGGAAGAGATGCTGATGAGGGGGCGTCCCCTTAGTTCTTTTTGTTTTTCCAGCTTTCCTATTTTTGCTTTTATTTTGAAGTGTTCTCGGCATGTCAAGGCACTTAGTTTTATATGTTTGCAAGTAGTTGTAATAGCTATAAACAATATTTGCATTTGAATGAAAGTTATTTTTACTGAACTCAGATTAAGCATAGCACAAGGTTAACTCTGAACTTGGATTCTCTAATTGTATCCGACTTTGAATTG